AATTTACACACACACACACATACACACTTATAAGAGGGTTTTTTTTTCTGAAGAAACATTTGAAAATAAGAAATATTTATAATTTCCCACACACTTTGAAATAACTACTGCTTTTCTGGGATCTTTTCAAAAAAGCCACTATAATGCATAGTGCCCAGAGAAGTAAAGTACTGTAGTAAGTCACAGACTGTCTAGCAGAAAAGGGTCCTTTTCTGCCTTGAGCTTTGGAATGAATCCATCCTTTTTATGTAATATTTCACTAAGGTTGTTTCCCACACACATACATGCACAGACTAGGCCCACTTGCCTTCCAAATAACTGCCAAAGCACTCGGTCTTCTCCTAAGCAGTGAAAATCATTTCAAAGACTTGTCAAGGAAATAAATTAATTAAAATAGAAGAAAATGAAAAACACTTACCTAGCAAACTTCCGGTTTAGAATTTTTAAGTAGCTTTATTTTAGGTTTTAATAAGGTGACAGGGAAAAAGAGCATGTTCTGAACTCCAACGAAACCATCCATCCTAAGACTTTCCTTTACACTGACTCCACTAAGCCTAGCTCTCCACTAGTCTATTATTTTCACCAAAATATATGAAAATTTATGCAAATGAAAATCAGCACTAACTGTTCTCCCCTTGTTATATACTTTGGATTTTTTTCCAGACAAAACAATCACACTCCTCAAAGGGAGGGGGTGGGTGGGGTGGGGGTAGAGTGTATGGGGGGGGTTAGGAAGTAAGTAAAAAGAAAAAGATAAGAAGGGAAAATTCTAACTTAGTATATTTCTGTTATCTAAGCACACAGCACTTTTAAGGTCATCCTCCCCCCCATCACACACCCTCCTTTATTGAAAAAAAAAAGAAAAAGAAAAAGAAAAAAGAAAGAAAAAGAAAGTAGATCTGTTTGCCGAAGCACTATCACGTTTCATCAGGCCACCTGAGACGGCTTTTGAAAGCGTGTACTGTGAAATTCATAGCAGTAATTTAGACAAAATCCTCACTGTATATTAATGAAAGGCGGCCCCATGGCACCGTTCCTATCCTCCCCATTCAGTGTAAACAAAACCACGAGACTCACTCGGTTTTTGAGCCTGATCCAAGCAAAATCGGCTGGAAAGGAAAACATGGGGTTCTGGCACTGACTTATTCAAACGTCTGCACCTGGAGATCTCAGATTTATTCAATGAAATCTGTGTTAGATCTTTCATATAGACATACATACACACACATATAAAAGAAACCTTTGGAGGACGCAAGGGAACAAAAAAAATCGTTATGTTTAGGGTTTAGTTACCATTACCCTTCAGATCTGTATACTTCACGTTGATGGTTTAGCTAAACCTACCTAAGATGGTATCTTTCACCAATCGAGCTGGAGCTGGACAAAATTCTACCCGTCTACAGTTAATCTTCAAATCACGCACATTCTGGTGCACACTTGGTGTTGGGATGTAGCTTGTACTGTAAACTGAGTTCATCTAGCTGTATTCTGCAGTGAAATTATTAACCGGGAGAGAAGAGTACTATGGTTCACATTTTAATGGGAATACACATGTAGATTTCTACCTGCCTCCACGCAGCACATGCACGCACTGTGCATATTTGCCTGCAAAGGAACAGACAGGTCTCGAGGAATACATAGCACATATTAATATGCCTATATTCTGCATCTATGCACACTATATGCAAGTATGTATACACATTCTATGTTGTGTTTAGTATATAGGATGCACCCGATATATACAATCATTAGCAAAGATGTATGCAGTGAATGTCCGAATTGTGTTATTTCTTTGGAAATCCCCGAGGAGTGTTCAATTTGCCCTTGTTTTGGTTGCCACTTTCTCTTTTTTCTTGGTTCGCTGAGGTTGCCTCTGTGCAGCGTTTCCGCTTGGTCGCATCTCACCCTCTCTCCTCTTCTCCCTCCTCCTCCACGCACTCCCCCTCCCGTCCCCCTTAACTCTTTCAGCCAGGCTAGGAAATAATAAAACATTAGATCCGACCATTCACATCTACATATACACACCCCCTACAACTCAAACCACACGTAACACTGGCTGGGGGTGGCGGGGGGTGGTATTGGAATATTACTACTACTGCTAATAATAATAACCCTAATAAAAATGTACCCGCCACAAAGTAGAGAGCAGGGCAATTGATTCCTGCTTTTTTGGCTCCATTCCTGTTGAATCGGGAATTTCTGAAGGCCATTCGGGTTTGATGCACGTACTACCAGTACCTGGGGGAAGGTTGGACTGATTTGATTTTGAAATACAGTGTGTGGCTCACACACGAACCCTTAAAGTTGCAAGAGTAGAATAAACACTCTCTCCCATTCCGGAGGAAGGATGCAGGGAGGAACAAGAAAGTGAGGGGGGAAAGGAGAGAAAGAGGAAAGAGAAGGGGAATGGGGGAGGGAGAGAGAGAGAGAGAGAGAGAGAGAGAGAGAGAGA